AACTTGACACCTTTACACAACTCTTTAGCCATATCTAATTTTTAAAATAAAGACAATAGTAAAATCGTAATTTTGCCTAATGGGCTAAAAGTTATGCTACTTAAAATGTGCCAGCCTCATTTACACATAATACTGTATAAGTGAGGGGAAAAACCCAAAAGTTCTATACTTAACAATTTTAGTTATGTCAACACCTATCCCATAATTGTATTAAAATATTCTCCCACCCATGAAAGTTTGTAAGCCAACCACGTTATGCCTTTATCCTCCCCACTTTGGGTATCCAGTTTCTATACTACCCACTTATATCAGCCCAGTGCTCTGAGGAGACAAGGATATGCTTTGATGTAAAGACTCTTTATTCCAGTGGGAACTTTGTGAGTCCAAATCCATAAGCAAAGTCAACTCAGGATAGGCTGTCCATAATGTCAGCAGCAATATGCACCAGTTCACAGGCTCAAAACGCCTATCCTCATCTGAACAGGTTCTGGCCAACTCAGAGTGGGCCACCTTGCTTAGCCTCACCAGGATGTCCATTGGCTGCCTCACCTTTTGACCAGGGGCCCTGTAAAAACTTCTCAACAACACTATCTCCTCTTGGGCTAGGCCATGCTAGAGGCTCGGGTTCCCAAAACTCTTTCAATTTCAGACCAGCCAACCTGCTCTTCTCTTCTCCTCTAATCCCTATGAACTGGGTCCATGGTGTCAGTGGGCTGACTCAACCTGTCTCTCTTGCCGTATTGTTCGCACTTCCACTGAACAAGTGGATCCAAGTGGTCATGTAGCAAGCCACAGGTTGCCCACAGACATGCTTTAATATTCAGTCCTAGAGAGGAGACTTGCTTTATGGCTCCAGATTTCTCCAGCTTCAGGAGCAAACCTATAGTTCAAAACTCAAAAAGGAAAAATGCTGCTGCTGCTGCTACTACTACTTCTTCTTCTTCTCCCCCTTCAGTCTGCCAATCTCTTTTGGAAAATCTCTTCAAATGCAAATGTCCTGAGCACTCAGGGTTCTGGGTGGGGCTTACCTTTTCAGAGCTTTCTTTGTAGGCATATCCTATACCCATTAAAGATCTAACTTAGAGGAAAGTTGTGTTTTTCATCGTTGCTACATCGCACCCTGACTGGCTCATCTCCTCCCCGAGACCCCTCTGCAAGGGGATCTCCAGTGGTCTACAAATGGGCTTTGGGTCTCCACTCCACACTCCCCTCATCATTCACTATGGTAAGATTTTTTGTTCTGATGACGCCTTATACCTGATCCCTTCAACACCTCGTGATTGCACAGGCTGGTGTGCTTCTTCCATGTGGGCTTTGTTGCTTCTGAGCTTGATGGCCGCGTGACTACCTTCAATCCTTTAAGACCCCAGACACTATACTTTTTGATAGCTGGGCACCATCAGCTTTCTTTGCCACATTTGCTTATGCACCCATTTGTCTTCAGCCATCCCTTCGATACCTTGTGATCACACAGGCTGATAGGTTCTTCCATGTGAGCTTTGTTGCTTCTGGGCTAGATGGCCGCTTGGTTACCTTCAAGCTTTTAAGACCCCAGATGCTATATCTTTTGATAGCCGGGCACCATCAGCTTTCTTCACCACATATGCTTATTCACCCGCTTTTTCTTCAGTGGTTGTGTTGGGAAGGTAAGCATCATAGAATACCAATTTTAATAGAAGAAAGTATTCTTGCATTGAGGGAGTACTTGAGTGGAGGCCCAATGTCCCTCTGCTACCTTAATACTTAACCTATAAATATAGGCACATAGATCTATTTCCCCTTCCTCATATACCAATATATTTTCATATGTACGTGTCTTTATGTAGATCTCTATAAATGCCCTTTTCCTCCCAGCACTTTCCTCCTGTCCCACTATCATGCTCAGTAATGCTTCCTCCCCGCCCCCACTATCATGATACGAATTCTACCTTGCAAGTCTGGCTGGACCAGAGGATGTACACTGGTACAGAAGGAATTGGAAACACAGGGAATCCAGGGCAGATGATCCCTTAAGCCAGTGGTGTGAGCAATGATACTGGGAGGGTAGAGGGAGAGTGGGTTGGAAAGAGGGAACCCATTATAAGGAACTATATGTGACCCCCTCCCTGGGGGAAGGACAACAGAAAAGTGGGTGAAGGGAGACATCGGACAGGGAAAGATAAGACAAAATAATTTATAAATTATCAAGGGTTCATGAGGGAAGGGGGAGCAAGGAGGGAGGGGAAAAATGAGGACCTAATGCTGGGGTCTTAAGTGAAGAGGAAATGTTTTGAGAATGATGAGGGCAATGAATGTACAAATGTGCTTTACACAATTGATGTATGTATGGATTGTGATAAGAGTTGTATGAGCCCCTAATAAAATGATTTAAAAAAATTTATATCTAATTCAATAGCCAAAGCCAGTGAGTTTACAAACTCACTTCATATTTCCCAATAATCATTTCTAGCACATATTATATTGATATGTAGAAGAAATCAGTATAAACCTAGTACAGCCAGTCACTAAACTCAACTCTTAAAACAATCAAATTCAATAGTTTCTTATCTAAACTATCCCATTTTATGCAATATGGCCTTAGGCCTCTGACTGCATGAAGCCAGGGTGGGGCCTTCTGTCAGCCATTTTGACCTTCTGTCAGCCATTTGACTAAGTAGCATGGTCTCAGAGGAGGTGTTCGTGGGGCCATTTTGCCCCCTGAGCTCAAAATTTACATTTATCACTTTCATTTTTTACCTTTTCAGATAATAATAACCGAAGGAAAAAAAAATCTTCTAGGAATCAAAACCTTCACTTCCCGTGCCCTTTCCAGAAAACCACCTAGTAAACGGAATGGCCATGTTTGACCTCCAGCTAGCCAAAGCAGAAACACTGCCACGAAGCAGAAAACAAGCAAACATCCACCCTCTCTCTTCATAATTTGTTTCCCTAGCATCCCACTCCTAAGGTACCATTATGGGTTAGGCCAGGTTGACTAGGGAAACAAAGCCTGAGACACTCATATGTGTAAGAGAGAACTTTATATCAAGAAGTAGTTATGCATATCAGGACAACATCCCAGCCCAGTCCAGGTCAAGTTCATCAATCCCTCTCATACAGCTACGTGCAATGATGCAGAATACAGGAAGATCACAGGCCTCGGGGTGAAAAGTCTTATGAATCAAGTGGCGGTGGAAGCATCACAGGGCTGGTGCAGGTCTCCCAGTTGCCCACCAGCAGGAAAGGTGAAGCAGAGAGAGAGGGGGAGGTTCTCAGGACCCTTCTTATGAGGAGGTCCCAGCCACACAGAGGCACTCTCAGGCTGTGACCTGTTGACGGGCGAGACTCCACCCCTACCCTTCAAGTTGATGCAAAATTATGTAACTACCACATTCCTTAAAAGCAAGTAAGTCATGACTTCTGAGGAAGGAGACTCATGCCCCAAAGAATCTTGTGCTCAGCAAAATGATTAGAATGACTTCCTATGCCCCCAAAAGGGTGTGGTTCAGGTCAATAAAATACACAGAAAGAAGCAAAGTTCCATTGGGATGGCACAAGCACACAGTAATTAAGATAAGGACTTGAATTTTCTTTGTTATATATTTTCCAGACTTATGGAAATCAGCGAAAGGCTTTGCACACACAGTATGTATTCAGCCACTTTTAGCCCTCATCACACCCATGGCCCTTACCACACAGAGATGCCTCCCACTCAGAGATGGGCTCAAGGCACCTCTGGGAGGAGCTCAGCTCGGCTGGAGCCCCAGGTCACACAGGGATATTGCTTCTTTCTTTCAGATTACACAACCAGTTTCTAATGTAATTTCCAGTCATAACAACAAATGAGTCCACATTCTCTTCTTTATCCTCCAGCCTGCTGCTCCCTCTTTTACTCTGATTTCCTCGTGGCCTGGAATGAGTTCTCCCTTTCTTTATAGAACGGGTCATTTTCTTGGGCAGAAACTTTTGGAAAAGACAGGTTTCCAAGAGAAGCCTTTCCCTGTGGGGCAGTCAAGAGGAAACTCGAGGCAGGGGAGGCACTGTTCTTACTCTCTGGGCATGGGGTGCTGGGAGCCAAGAATGGGTTATAGAAGAGAATGCTGGGTTGAGCTTCTGTGGGGGTTAATCCTGTGTCTGGTGTAATCCATCCCCATCCTGAAACCCAGGTTCCATTAATCTTCCCAAAAGAAACATGGCCCTCCAGCTACTGTTCCCACCATCTCTGGAGATGCTGAATCAGGAACATGTGGGCCTCTGGTCCAGGGAGAACTTGACCCTCTGGCCCAGGTTCCAGCCCTACTGCTGAGACTCCCCCACACTGTGACTGTGGGGATGGCATTGACCCTTCCTAAACCTGCATTTCCTTTGATGTAAGATGAGGGTAATCCTACCAAGTGCTTTGCGAGTGGAGACATTTCATTGGCAAAATACCCAGAGCCAGTTGCCATCAATTCAAGCCTGGCTTAGGGCAATCCCAGGGGTGTCAGCGTAGAACGATGCTCCTGACAGTTTCCAGGGGCACTTTTTCAGAGCGAGAGCATCAGGCATTTCTTTCAAGGAAACTCTGGCTGGACTTGAACTTCCAAACGTTTGGTCAGTAGCCGATCTCATAACCATCTGTACTCTTTAGGGACTCCGGTAGCAAATTACATGGGCCCGTGGATTCACGGACCATTCCATTGTCTTCCCTGCAGACTCTTTTATAGGTCTTTCTCCTCCAGCCTTTCAGTGTCTCCTCAGAAAAACCACCTCAAGGGGTGCAGGTTTCTAAACTGAGGGCAAGGGGAAGGCACGCCGCTATCAAGACCTCCATGCGAGGTCTGCGCTCCATGGTGTTAGTACCTTAGCCTAGCAGTTCCTCAGCTAACTGGCCATACCATGGAGGGGTGGGCACGTTCTGGGGGCTTCTCTACCATCCACCACGGTGAGGAACCCATGGCTTGAGGCCTCCAAGGGGGTGTGGAAAACCCTCTGTGGGTGGTGTTGGGGCTTGACCGGGCCTTCCTGTGCTTTCCTTCCAGGACAAGGAAGTAAACCTGGAGCAGGTGCACCGGCGCATGAACAGCCTCATGGATGAAGACATTGCACACAAGCAACTCTCTCCAGCCTCCATTGAGCTTGCAGCCTTGGAGATGGGGGGCCTGGCTCCCGGCCAGGCCTTGGAGCCCACGCGAGAGTACCAGAACACCCAGCTCTCCGTCAGCACGTTCCTGCCGGAGCAGAGCAGCCACAGCACCGGCCGGACACTCTCGGCAGGGCCTGGCAGCAACCTCCCACTGCCCCTGAGCAGCTCCGCCACCATGCCCGCCATGCAGTGCAAACACCGGTCACCCAATGGGGGACTGTTCCGCCAGAGCCCTGTCAAGACACCCATCCCCATGTCCTTCCAGCCGGTGCCAGGAGGCGTCCTTCCAGAGGTCTTGGACACCTCCCACGGCACCTCCATCTGATCGCGCCGCCTGCCCTCCCGCCCGCCCCCCCATCCACCTGACCAGCAGAGCTTTTTAATACAGAAACAAAACCCTGGACCCCCCACCACACACACATGCGCACACACACGTCCACAGAGACTCTAACATTTTTCTTGTACATATGTGTAAATAATGACAGAATGGAGTGGGATAAAAGTGTATTTTGAATATTCCCAATTTTCGAAGTCAGTAAAAAACAAACCCCACAAAACCTGTACGAATGACTTTGTAAATTTTGTTCTATATGAATAAAAAGGCAAACTACTTGTGATCATTCTGAAGTGCCAAAGAAGCCCCCTCTTCCCGGGCCCGTCTGAGGGCAGGAAGGTTAAGGCGATCAAGAGCCCCTTCCTGCTGGCAGAGGTAAAGGAAGGAGCTCATCTCTCTAGAAGAACCTCTGAGGGCTTGCTGCTCTGCCACATGGCTGCCCCACTAAGGCCCTCTCCTCGTTCCTTTGTCAGTTCCCTTGTCAGTTCCCTTAGGTAGGTGAAGGGGAAGCCCCGAGCTAACACTGGCCTGGCCCCCTCGCTGGGTCACCTTGTAGTTAGGTGATCCACGTCCTTAGTGCCAGAAAATGAAGTCCCTAGAATATTGCGTAGCACTGGGCAGCTAAGGACAAACTCTTCACCCAGCTGTAGAGTCAGAGTGCCATGGTTCACATCTGCCCCATTGTCTTGGGAGACCCTGCCCACTGACGCAACAGTCACTAATGATTGTTGCTAGGGGCGTGCGCTAGCGCTTTCTTTTAATCTCTCTGTTTACGTTCTCTGCCAGATTACAAAAATCAACACAGGACAGACTATGGGGGAGGCGGAGCCCGTTGTGGCCTTAGAGGGACTGGGAAAAGGTGATACGGAGACAGAGATGGAAGATGTGATCACAGTCTTTCCTTATATTTGGGACCCATGGTCCCAGGTGAGAGAGGCCAGTGTGAGGAGTGTTGAAACAGTGGCAGGCCAGGTAACAGAATGGCACGATAGGAGCCGGTGTGTTAGACACGTGCCATAGAGCATGTGAGTGGGCAGGGCAGGCAACAGAGACCTCGGTTGTTTTTAGCTAGGAAGAAGCGTTGATCCTTCCGTAGGAGGAAGCAACAGCCCAATTCTGTGCTGTGGAGACAAGCAACTCTCATTCCTCTGGAAAGTTCTTTGTAGCCCAGGCAGTCAGGGGGTATTTCTGAGTCTGAAATCAAGAAGGCAGCCTTACCGAAAGGGCCAGAACCTACAGAGAGCCTTCACTTATGTTTTACTACCTTCCCCAGCTCTGAATCCCTCAAGTAGTGACGCCCACAGATGGGCCCTCCTGGCAGAGAACCACTTCTTTGAGATTCCAGGCCTATCGCTGAGCTGGTGGGCCTCCTGGAGATCCTGTTCCATAAAGCTAAGGACAATCTGTATGACCCATGCAACGCCATTTCCCTTGCGAAGCAATTAGACTATAGAGCCAGAGAAAAGAGTATGAGGGGCAAAATCATGTGAGTGTTCTGAATTGTGTCACTTCACCTCCTCCCACCATCGAAAGACAATGGTGCTTCTGCTCCCCTAATTGGTTCAAGGGTGAAAAACACCCTCATCCCAGGCTCCTAGAGAGGCCCCTTCCCTAGCAGAACGCACGGAGATGGCAGTGCAGCTCTCTGGTCATGGAGACAACAGAAGTCCCATTGATTGCTTCTCCTATTACTTTGCAGCATTACTGGGGAGATGTGCTTATGAGAGTGATAACTAGCCCAAGATGGATTTCTTTCCTGAAGTCCTGGGTAATATGATTGAGCAATAAGGAACAACTGCATCTAGCAGTCAACTAAAACCACCCCAGAGAGGAGAACGAGTGTGTTTATAATTACGTTATTTATGCCTGGAGGTGGAGAATGGCCTGATATTAGTACTACCAAGAGTTCTCCAACCAGAGCCCCCAAAGCCCACAGCAGGGAGTCGGAGGAAGCCCAGTCAGCACATGCTATCCTGAGGAGGATGGGCTCAGCTGGTTTCCACAACAATTTGAGGGCCCTGCCCTGGATGATCAATTTTTCACATATGTCTATTTTTTTAAATCCAACTCTGGTCTCACTGCCTTATCTCACACCCAGGGCTGTTTTCTATTGAGGTGACCTGTCTTCTCGGGTAGAACATGGATGTCTTCTTGGACTTCTTTGCTTAGAATGGATATTGGAGAAGGCGGCGATAGAAAGAGAATATGTATGTGTCTGTGGTTGGGGTGGGTAGGTGTGTATACGAGAGAGAGAGAGAGAGAGAGAGAGAGACAGAGGGTGTGAAAATTTGTACGCAAGTATGTAAGAGTGTTATGTGCTAGAAAGATTATGTGTTTGTGAATGAGAGACGAGAAATAGTGTGTTAGACAGGATGTATGTGAGAGTGTTATGTGCATGTGTGAGAGAGAATGTCCATGTATATGGGTGTGTGTGAGCGAAACAGAGACCAAGAGAGTGTGTGTATATGTGTGAGATTGTATGTGTGAAAAAAATATGTGTGTAAGAGAGTGAATGTGTGTACATGTGTGAGAGAGTGTGTCTTTGAGTGAGAGAGACAAAAATACTAAAATGGCATCCTTCTTTGAGGGAAACATTGTGCTGATGAAATATCTAAACACCTTGTGGTATTCTCTACCATGTTTCTGTTATTTTTAATTTCCTACCCTTGCCATGGGGGAAAATGACTAATATTCAAGAAAGTTCTCTAGGAAAAACTTTTTTTAATATCCCCAGCTCAGATTTCTGTGTCAGCTCAGAATGTATCTTTTTTCATGCTTTGCTCTTTGGATTTATAACTGTTTAGACGATTCCATACATTTTAGGTATATTTTGTGCCTTCAGGTATACAATTAATAACCATCATTTGGATTAAAATTGTTTAATAATAAACTTGATTCTGCTCCCTACCCTCTTATTCTTTGGGGTGAGGGAAGGCCCCTGCTTGTCCACACTGTGGCCGTGAGCAGAGTGCTTCCCGTCAACAGAGTTACAGTGGACAGTCTCTTGACCCAGTTTCAGTGGTGCTTGGGGGTGGGGGGCACTCCCTCCTGACCCAGTGTCTATCCAGAGTCCCTGACACCAACCCTAGGGCAATATGAGAGGCAGACCGAATAGTGAATTTAATGTGGTGCCAACTTCAGTGTCCTGTAAAGCACAAGGCCCTTCGAAGAGTCTCAGGAGAACATTAGACCCAAATCCATAAGGGGTCACGTACCCAAACCAAGTCCAGACCCACTGCCTTCAAGTCTGTTCTGATCACAGTGACCCCATAGGACAGAGTTGAACTTGCCCCTCTGAGGCTGTATGAGAGCAGAAAGACTTATCTTGGAGTGGGCTGGGTTTGATCTGTTGACCTGACAGTTGCCAGTTCAACGTGTAACCCACCGCACCACCAAGTCTCCTACTGTTTCGACTGAAAGGACATTTTTCAATGTTGTTATCTTTTTTTCGTCTGTATTGGCAATCCAAACTTGGATACCTTGCTTCCGGTGGGTAGATGTCCAGGCTAACGGGCAGTCACTATGTGATGACTCATGATTTGTCTGTCCTAACATTGGTGCTCTCAAGGTCTGCAGGTACTACTTGCCAATGCATATTCCCCAAGCTCCATCATCTCCACTGACTCAGACCACTAGCTTTATTTAGCTCATTCTATACCCAAGAAATCCTTGGTCACCCCCCACTTCCTATCACAGTGAGGAGTCTCCCTCCAATTTCAGGGTCTTGTTGGAGGCAACAACCCCCTCCATTAGCCTTGGGCAAAGTGAGGGACTGTAGACGGTTGGTTTGCATAACCAAGAACTGATTTTTCAGGGCATGGGACGAAGATGCCTATCCCTTGTCCTTTTGTGTCCGCTGCAATGATGAGTCCCTCCATTGCTCAGGATAGCTCCCCAGAAAAAGGAACCCTTTCCAGACCAACTATGGACGCAGTCTTTTGGATCTCGGCAGAACTGGCAGCCGGATCCCAAGGGCTACGTTTTCATACGAAAACGAAACCTCGTTCTCAAATGGTGAAGGCCCACGCTCTCGCCACGATGAAACGAGAATCTCGTCTTTTCAAGCACTGAAGAACATAGAATGAAAGAAAGCTTTGTTGAATCTGAAGCCATAATGACCCAGAAGATGTGTTTTTCAGTTGCTCGGGTTTAGGACTTTTCATGAGATAATCACAGACAATGTCTCTGGGTGACTTGGTCTTTATGTGACCTCCTGTCTCTTTCCTGTGTCTTTGCCTTTGTTTTCAGGATTTCACAGGAAGCACTCTTGATTAAATCCTTTCATTTCCATAAGTACATTCTCATGAATTAACACTTAGATCCTAACAAAAGCCTTATTTTGAGCTTCTGGCTTTGCCAACACCACGTTAGATAGAAAGGTCAAAAAATTGTACTGACCTTTATTTGATGAGAAAACAATCAATGACACCGTTTCTGCTCTTAAGATAATATTTTGTATCTAAAACATTTGTAAATTCCATATCGTTATTCGCTTGAAATGAAAAAAATTATGTTTGATTCTTATTATTCTCACACTTCATGCCAGGAAAACTCAGATAGGTAAAACTTCTCTGTGCCAATAACTTTAATCTTTTAAAATAGTTTTATTGGCATATATTTCACATGCCATACAATTTAACCACTCAGTCATATTACAAAGAGCTCTATAATCATCACCGCAATCAATTTCAGAACGTTTTCGTCTTGTGCTCTCATTGTTGTTAGCCCCTATTTCTCCCCATTCTCCCCCGTCATTCACCAAGGTAATTGTTAATCCAGTTTCTGTCTCTATAGATTTACTTATCCTGGATTTCACATACAAAACACAAACAGGAAGCAAACGAACAAACAAAACCCAACCACAATGGCTAGGCAAAACATGGAAGTGCCTCAATCAAAAAGAAAGCAAAAAAATATATATTAAAAATAGAAAAAAACTTTAAAATGGGTAAAAGGGAGATCAAATGAAAAGATACTACATTTTTTTTCTACCCCATCTAACATAATCTACGTTAAAATGATCTCTATGTGATAGCAAGGCTATTCACGTTCCTGGACTGTGTCCAGAGGGGTTCACCGGGGGCTTCATGCTTGTGCGGGCCCTACAAATGGGTTTTGAACTTCAACTATCATTCTAGAGGAAGACATCATGCTCGGTAAAGTAGAGGGGCAGTGAAAAGAAGGAAGGTCCTCGATGAGATGGATGGACACAGTGGATCCTTTAACGGCCTCAAGCAGAGGAACCATTGCAGGATGGTGCAGGACTAGGCAGTGTTTTGTTCCGATGGCCCCTAACAGCAACAAGGGCATGTGGCATCGGTAGACTTCTGCAAACCAGGTGTTGACAATGTAAGCTCTCATAACCATTCCTTCCCTCAGACTTGGATTTTATTATTTGCAATGCTGGATCACACAGCCTGTGTGCTTTCCATGTGAACTTACTTGGCACCTCACTTAGATGCCTGCTTAGTGTAAGACAAGCCCTTAAGACATCAGACGCGATTATTCCTGAGAACCAGGCACCATCTGGTTTCTTCACCATACTTTTCTATAGGTCGCATATATTCAATGATCCCTTCACGAGGGAAAATATCAAGTCAAGCCACATAACAAGAAATACTTGTTCTTAGATTGGAGCTAGAATTAAGTATGAGCCCAAAATTCGTTCATGCATCTGTGGTCTATATATGGCCCTGGTTCACTTTATAGACATCATTTTCATTTTATGATAGAGAACCTTATTCTTCTGGAGCATAGGCAGTTCCAATGATCATGTTATTAATTTAGTCAATGGTATAGAATTTAAAACACTGCTGAGAAAAGAAAATGAAACACATATAGGCTTGTTTCAAATGGGAATGCATGAATGGTTGACTGCTGCAGGTTGAACTTTCCATGTGAATTGGACACTATTTATACATACAATGGAAGTTGCTAATAGGACAATTGCAATAGTACTCATTCACAAATATGGACCCATGCCTACCAGACTAACGGATGTCAAAAGAAAACAAGGAAAACATCAAAACAGGAAATATATGGTAGTCCTGGGCCACCATCCATTGGGCACCCTCAACACAATTGATCTGAACCAAAGTCCAACGGCCACCAATTCTATAACCTTGGGATTGCAGTCATCTACTTCTTCTCATATCAGGGCATTTCAGCATAAGCCCAAGCGAGTATGTCAGTTCCTTAACTGGATAGTGGTGAGTTGAGGTAAAGCTCAATTAACAGTGAGATTTCCACATCAAATGCATCTGGTTCAAACTTTAAAGGATGTTGTGATTCTCAAGTGAAGAGAGTCGGCATTCCCAGTCATTTATAACACATGGTCTGGGTCACAAGGGCTGGGTGTAAACTAGGTCAAAAATGGCCAAGTAGGAAATACCACTGGCTGCCCTCTCCCCATCTGTTTTCTCTTCCACTGTTGTAAGTCCTTTATTATATTTGGTGATAGGTCTGCCCTGCAATAGGACCTTTAAGTGTGTCCCAATTTTGTCATGGATATTTATAGCTCTGGAATTTATATTTAGGTCTCATCCATCTTATATTCATTTTTTTGTGCATGACACAAGGTATATGTCCTGTTTCATTCTTCTGCAGATGGAGATCCAAATTTTCCCAAAACTTTGTGGATGAGGTATCTCTCACATTTAATAATTATTAGTCCTTTGGTGAAAATAAGATGCTTGTAGATGGATGCTTTTATTTCTGTGTTTTCTAGCCTATCCCCTTGGCCTATGAGTCTATCATTGTACTGGTACCTGGCTGTTTTAACTAATGTGAATGTGTAGTAGGTCTTGAAGTCAGATAGTGCAAGGTTTTCTACTTTGTGACTCTTACAGAGAAGTTATTTGACTATCTTGGGCCTCTTCCTTCTCCGTATGAAGTTGGTAATTAATTATCCTATTTATTTAGAGAATGACATTGGGATTTGGATAGGAATTGTGATGTAGTTGTTGATTGCTTTAAGTAGTATTAACATTTTCACAAAATTGCATCTTCCTATCTATGAACATGGGAGTCTTCCATTTGTTGTAGGTCTTTTAGTTTCTTGTAATAGTGCTCTGTAGTTTTCTTAGTACAGATCTCTTATTTCCTTGTTGAGGTTTATTCCTGGTTTTAATCTTTTGTGAGGCTATTGTACATGAAATTGTTTTATTGCTGGTTTTCTTAGACCTCCTTTCACTGGTATCTTGAAATCTGATTGATTTCTGCTTGTTAGCTTTGTACCTTGCTACTTTAGAAAATCCCTCAAATGT